ACATATGTCCCAATAATTGATGTCTAAATACATATATGACCATAATTTTGTTTCGATCCTTTATAGAAACACCAGATTATGCATCAAAAAATGGAATATATGCTATCAACGAGATATCAACGCTGCAATATATACAAAAACCGTTGTCATTAGCAACCACTTTACATTTTCAACCATTCTCCAAAAACAAAACCACATTACATAGTTTCCACATCTACAAATGTTCACTTCTGTGGCTATCAAGTAAGCTTCTCTGCCTTCTGAAATGTTCAACTTGAGTTAAAGAGAGGGAGATATAGACATTACGGTACGGTAAAAAAGGGAGGGAAACCTTTTCTGTTTGGTTGTATTGTTTTGACAATTTTGACCATCAAGTAAGTTTCCCATTTGAGTCAAAATTCAAATTTTCCTATCGAATGATAGCAATTTAGACATAATGCATAGACCACCGCTGCTATTACATATAATGGTTTGGGATTGTGGCCACAAAAATTAAAGATTTGGCTGTAATTTGCTGCAAAATGAAAGTTTTGGGACCGACGTTGCAATTTTCCTAGACTATGTTGTCTAATGGTTTTAAAATTAGTTAGAGTGACAATTGTGTATATATAAAACATACACCTAAGGCCAATGTAATTGTATGTCTATATATGGATGACATGTTAATTATGGGCAATAGTCACGATTTCATCATGAATACTAAGAAAATGTTAACAAAATATTTCGACATGAACGATATGGGTGTGGCAGATGTCATATTAGGGATGAAGATCTCTAAAGCATCTAATGGAATTGTACTTTCCCAAAAAAGAACCCATATTGATTTAAGTCTACACTTAGTCAAAAAGAAAGGTGAGCCGATGTTTCAACTAAAGTATTCACAGGTTATAGGCAGTAATGTATTACAAACTATACTCATTCAGATATAGCATTTGCCTTGAATAAATTTAGTAGATTTACGAGTAATCCAAGCTATGACACTTGGAAGGCTTTGAATAGGGTCCTTAGGTATCTAAAATATACCTTAACATTTGGATTACACTTCACAAAATATCTTGTAGCATTGGAAGGATATTATGATGCGAATTGGATATTTGATAAGGAGCATTTCAAGTCTACTAGTGGTTATATTTTTACCATTGGTTGATTTGTTGTGTCTTGGAAGTCCACAAACAAACATGTATAGCCTGATCAACTATGGAATCAGAGTTTATATCATTAGACAGATAGTAAAAAAACAGAATGACTTTGTAACTTTTTGAAGGACATTCCATGTTGGCTTAACCCGGTACCTGTTATAGGTATATACTTTATAATGGTCAATCGACTATTGGAAGGGTACAAAATATTATCTATAATGGTAAGTTCAAACACATACGTCGTAGACATGATACCATTAAGCAATTGATCTCAAATTGTTAAAGGAAAACGTCGCAAATCCGCTTACAAAAGACTTACTGAAAGATCAAATGTATTCCTATCGAAGGGAATGAGATTAAAGACTACTATCTAAGAGTCTTTGTAATGATAAACCAACTTTGTTGACATGAGATCCCAACATCTAGGTTCAATTGGACAACTAATTTATGAAGATTCTATGAAGTACTAAGGAAATAATTCCTACTCATTCCTAAGATAACCAAAGTACTTTATGCAGAATGTTAAAAAGTTAAGTGGAGCTTTTAATTATTTCTATAACTTGATTAAATTAAGTGAAGTATGGCAAATACTCTCAATAGGAGGTCACCCATGTTAGTGTGAAGTGAGGCCGCTTTTATGAGAATTGTTGAGGCGAAAATTCTCTAAAACATTTATGGAACCTAAGATTATTCTAGTTTTCTTTCTCTGTTACAAGAGTTGTATACCATAAAGATTCTAGAATATTTTAAACTATGGATTTGCTACCTCGTTGATGCTCCTATATTGAAAGGTGATCGCATGAGTCTTCATATATTTCCAAGGACTCCATAAGTGCACAAAAAAATATCCAGAGAATCAAATCTAGTGCGATTAAGAATTAGAAGTACGCTATGATGTATACTTGCCCTAACATTGGTTATGCCATGGATCTAGTCAATAGGTATTGATGTTATACTTAAAATGGCATTTTGATACCTGAAGGGTACTGCTATCATTTATTCTATTTTTGTTGTTAAGGGAAACTTGTTATTTGAATAGATATTCAAATGTCGACTAAAGATGAGAGCTAGTTGAGCACAAATAGTAATTAGATTAGTGCAATCTTGCTTTATAGAGTATCAATAAGCATATTTTGTATATCTTAGTAGTCGAAGAAATTGTTTGGTATAGATGTATTGGACATCTAATGATACTAGTTGAGAATATAATATCCATGATAATTATTCAATTATATCATGTATTGAGGATCTCAAATATCATGATAAAGCTAAACACTCGATAGTATTTCCGTGAGAAACATTAGCAAAGAAAGTATCTTTACAATATATCTACGTAAATGATGATATGTAATCATCATACTTTAAAGATGTTTAGAAATATACTTGTTGGTAATGTCGAATCTATAAAATTACATAGAATATGATACTTATTGTATCAAAACACTATGGATTGAGTTTTATGTACACGTAGATGAACAATTTTGGAGTTCATGTGTAATCTATTGTTGGGATTACAAGATAATATTTTGCATGAACATATAAAGTATGTTGAATAGGTTGAGATTGGTTCACTCACATGAGCAATCGCTTCAGACATTTTGGAGTGTGCTGTGATGAGACATAGTGATCCTGCTGCATACATGATCTAGTCGCCTTGATGAGATATCAAAATGAGATTATAATAAGTAATCGATATGGATTTCACTATCCATTAGAACTGTTTTATAGTCAGATCGAGTTCTCGATTATAGATTGCCTAGATGAATAAATATGATGGGAACTCAAGTTAGGTATCAGGGACTACCTGAACTAGGATCTGTATGATGTTATTTATTTATAAAGAATAAGACTTACGCCCTCTAAAAGGGAGAAAACAACGTAGCACATGTTTCATATCATGTGCGCTTTTATGCCAACATTTGGTAAATGAGTGAATGGATCAATGTTTCCTCATTGTGTGAGACCTTGGGGTTTATAAAATCTGATATCTATACTTGTGACTTTTGACTGTTTCTTGAGATTTTATTTCGGTGTTACTATTTTAGCATGTTATCAATAACTATGATTGATTCAATTTGATGAGACAAGTTTAAGAAAGCAGTTGATTTAATGTTGAAAGTTTTGAGTAGGAAATGAATACTATTTTGACTAATATTTATATTTTGTATTCATCGGTCGGACAATTGTGTTTAACCATTCAGGGTATATGACACAATTGTGAATATAATGATAAGATGTGGGGTTCAAATATGTTCCATAAATATTTGAGGGATCGAAAATACTTAAATTAATGTTGAAAAATAAGTTTGGGATATAGCAAGATGTAATGTTCCTCTAGTAGAGTTACTATATATCACTAACAGGTTTATAGTACCGCGTGCTCTAATATTACTCGCTAGTTGCATGATTTATTTGTCGTATAAATTTTTGTGAAACAGATTTTGAGAAGGATCTATCATGAGACATTCGTTGTTTCTTGTGGTTTGGATCAAGCCCATCATGTGTAAGCGGATATTAGAAAATATGAGTCATGGGTTGCCCATGTGAGGTGACCCGACCCACAAGATATCAAAAAGGTTGGAGGGAGTGATTTGAATTTGGAATTTAAATCTACAACTTCCCATGACTCCTATAAAATCTCCAATTTTTGTCCAGCAATGGAGAGGAAAAAAAAAAAAGATGGTGGAAAATACGTGAAATCCGTCTAGAAAATCGCTCAAAAATAGAAAAGTGCCTAGAACCAAATGTATGTCATGAAAACTCACAAAACTAGGCATTTAGATTGTGAATAATAATCCACATTCATTGTGATTAGGATTGGAACCATTGAACAGGAGAAAACAGATTTTAAAGTTTTGATATGCAAAGTGATTCAACCACATAACGTTCTTGAAACTCATCATTTCACGTAAGAAACTTGATCCGAAATGCATGTTAAAGTATGCTTCGAATTACTTCACCAACCATTTTGGTAAATGTTCATAGTTAAAGCAATAAGGATACGGTTAATGTTTCAGTTGAAACTTACATCATTTTTGTTATGAAGGAATATTGGGAATTGACCCGAGCATCTGATTGTAATAGTTTGTGATACGCAATGAATCAGAATCTGGGACCAAATATTGTAAAGCGAGAGGGAAATGAATGCAGTCTTCCTCTCCTATTCTTTGATCACCTAGTAACTATAATCCAATATTTCCCTACCCTATATAATCTGGTGTACTCGGTGGTTTAAGATTGTACTGATTCCCACGTACGAAGCCCATTTTGTTTGCTAAATTTCTAGTTTTTGCTAGACGTCGTTCTTATGTAGCATGATGTTTGATTATTTGGCTTTAAATTCAAGTTGCAGAGAAAATCCCATAAATGCCGCCAAAGAATATCAAACGACCGGAATAATCAAACGCATTTTCCAGCAGAGTTTCACGAAATCCTCCCCTACAGATGGTCTGATGAGAGGAATGAAAATGATTGGTATAGGATCTCCCAAGTGTTCCGGTCAGTGGACAAAGACAAATGTATATTCTTGTTCAACACTGTCGCTACTATACCTACCTAAATTAATCTGTCTTTTTGCTACCGTGCAAAAGCCATAATGCTATTAATTAATTACTGAATAAAAGCATAAACAACACTTTTAACATGTCTTGATAATCATCAAGTTTCTGAAAATAAAAAACTAACTTCTTGGCACGTTCTGACTACAATGTTCAAAATGTCCCGAGGTTCTAAATATAAAGCCTGTTAATCATGAATTTATCAACTAAGCTTTGGAGTCTACAGCTAGGTGATAAATAGCGCTGTTCGAATAGAAAATAGTAGTACAAACAACGAACTTTCATTGTCGAAGCAATGTTGAATCTACACAGCAACCGGCTCAGGAGATGGCTCTGGAGGTGCACCACTGCTACCATTGAGAACAATCACATTGCCATCAGAATCAACATCCACAATAACTGAATCGCCTTCTTTGATTTCGTGTGCAAGCAACTTCTCGGCCATGCTATCCTCCAGAAGTCTCATAATTGCTCTTCTAAGTGGTCTTGCCCCATAGCTTGGATTGTATCCTTCTTCGACTACACGATCTCTGAACCTCTCTGTCACCTGAAGTTCAATATCCTTGGCTTTCAGTCTCTCGAACACTTCCTTCAGCATAATATCTGCTATTTCCTTCACCTCCAGCTTAGTGAGTTGCCGGAATACAATCATCTCGTCTAATCTATTTAAAAATTCTGGCCTGAAATATTGTTTCAACTCCTCTGTCACCAAGCTCTTGATTCTGTTATAACTGCTATCCTTCTCGTCATAATCTAGATCAAAACCTATACGTCGGCCCCCCTTTTCTATTACGCTGCTTCCGACATTTGATGTCATGATCAACAGTGTGTTCTTGAAATCGACTGTTCTACCTTTGCTGTCAGTCAACCGACCATCTTCAAGAATTTGAAGCATCATGTTGAAGACGTCAGGATGAGCCTTCTCTATCTCATCAAAGAGTACAACAGTATAAGGCCGGCGTCGAACAGCCTCGGTTAGCTGTCCACCTTCAGTGTAACCAACATATCCAGGAGGTGAACCAATGAGCTTTGAAACAGTATGCCTCTCCATGAACTCACTCATATCAAGCCGGATCATGGCTTCTTCAGAACCAAAGTAGTAGGCAGCCAATGCCTTTGCAAGTTCTGATTTCCCTACACCAGTTGGACCAGAAAAGATGAAGCTAGCAATGGGCCGGTTGGGATTTTTGAGCCCAACACGGGCACGGCGGATAGCACGACTGATGGCTTTGACAGCTTCATCCTGTCCAACGACACGTGTGTGGAGTGTCTCCTCCATCTTGAGGAGTCGATCAGATTCATCGGTAGACACTTTCTCAACAGGGATGCCTGTCCAGGAAGAGACAATATGCTGAATGTCAACTTCTGTCACAACAGGACCCGCATCGCCTGCCTCACTTTCTGCCCTGGTAATCTCTTTGTTTTTGTCGATAAGAGTAGATATCTGTGCCTTAACATCCATTTCTCTGTCACGTAGCTCCCCAGCCTGTACATAAATTAAATAGTCAATAAACTCAGCATCCAATCAGCTTAAGAGGTAACAGCAATGTCAAATATTGCGATCCTACATCCTAACTTCATCAAACTATTAAAAAAGGGAGTAAATATTAAAATATTACTAACCTTTTCAAAGTCTTGGCTTCTGACTGCTTCATTCTTTTCTTTTGTGATCTGCCTGAGCTCTTTCTCAAGCTCTCTGGCTTCCTCAGGAAGCTGCAAAAGATAAAAAGTGTCATTGCAGATCCCATTGAAAAAGAAAAATTCCTTAAATAAGAAAGGTATATACTTGTGCATGACGAAGTCGAACCCGGGAACCAGCTTCATCAACCAAGTCAATTGCTTTATCAGGCAGAAAGCGGTCACTGAAATATGTTAAGATGATATTCAGTGAAGAGCTGACTGAGGGACCAGTATTTGACTCTTTTTTTTTTTAAGAATCGCAATACAACTAACATGCATGAAAAAGAGCATACATCTTGAAGCTGCTAAATCAGTGTTAATAATAGACGTGATTGTTGTTTTATTTTTTTGAACTTTTTCATTAACAAGAAGTCAGCTGGTATGGGTATGATACATATATATATATATATATATACATACATATATATACACACATATATATATATATGTATACATCCTTGAAAAATACACTTTTTGAGCACCAATCAGTTGCAAATTTGTTATCAAGAGAATAAAATATGTACTTCTGAAACTATATACCTTATGTATTGGTAAGACAGCTGGGCTGCAGCAACTAATGCTTCATCAGTATAACGTAACTTGTGGTGGATTTCATAGCGTTCACGAAGTCCTTTCAAAATCTGTATGGTTTCATCCACAGTAGGTTCTGGGACCTTGACTGGCTGGAAACGTCTTTCTAGTGCTGGATCCTTCTCAATGTGCTTTCTGTATTCATCTATTGTAGTGGCCCCAATACACTGCAATTTATACAATTATCAGTGACTCACGTTAAAAGGACATCAAACAAATATGAAGGCCTAAAAAAAGATAGAAGAGATACTACACGTTCTGGTTAAACTCAGTTGTACAATCAAAAATTTGAAGGTCACCAGGACATTTATTTCAATAGAACCACGAGGCCACTATATTAATGATGAATGCACACATGCATGCAGGCCACTTCCTGGAAAAAACAAAGCAACATTTGCAGCTTGTGTGCGTAAGTAACCCACCAAGATCTTCATCAATATAACCTAAATATCACCTACCATAAGTAAAGTTCTTGATAAGACAACTTGAACAATAACTGTCAAGTACATCCTACACAGAATAACAGGAATTAGAATGCATTATTTTATTGACAATTACTTCGAAAATATGATTTAGACTCTTTTGGAAAAAGGTAGGGAATTACTGTCTTAAAAATAATTGAACTGGAAAGATCCCTTGTGATATGTATGAAGCAGACTTGTAAAATTGACGATGGCAGGAAAAGAAAGGGAAGATAAGGAACGGTCTCCAGAAATGATCTTCTGGCATGTATCAAATTCTCAAATAATATCTACTAGATAGTGTGATTCAATTTTTATAAATGCAATGACGTAGTCAAATATATTTTCCTATGGTTTTGTCTTGGCTGTGCTAACCTGTAATTCACCCCTTGCTAAAGCAGGTTTTAAAATGTTAGCAGCATCAATTGCTCCCTCTGCAGCTCCTGCACCAATCAATGTGTGCACCTCATCAATGAAAAGTATAATTTCATCACTCTGTTTAATTTCTTCCATCAGCTTCTTCAACCTTTCTTCAAATTCACCACGATATTTCGTCCCAGCAACAAGAAGACCCATATCCAGGGTTATAACCTGGAATGATTCAAAACGGAACATTTAGTCTTTCAAAGGGAAAAAGCTGAATGCACAACACCTAATGATATTAGGATGCATGTTTGGGTTACTTCTGTTTATGGTAGTCATATACTAGCTTACCTTTTTCCCCTCAATTGTCTCAGGAACATCCCCATTGGCAATTCTCTGAGCAAGGCCCTCTGCAATAGCTGTTTTTCCAACACCAGGTTCTCCAATGAGGCAAGGGTTATTTTTAGTACGCCGCCCCAAAATTTGGGTGACACGTTCAATTTGGGCCTGCCTTCCAACGACGGGATCTAGTTTACCCTAATGAAACAAGTAAACCAACTCCTATTAGGCCACTATAGAAAGTTTTAACACTTTCAGAAACGACAAAACATAAAGGAAATTACCTCCTCAGCTAGCTTTGTTAAATTGGTACCATACTCCTCCAATGTAGGCATCTTGTTGCCTGAGCTTCCTCCTCCAACACCAGCACCAACAGCCTCTGCACTCTCACCCACCATTCTAATAACCTACTTGAGCAAATAAATTCATCACTTCATCAGTTCAAGAGAAAACACAGACTTAAGTAAAAGCAGAGATGCTTGCCTGTGTGCGAATGTTACTGGGGTCAGCACCCAGATTCTCAAGGACACGGGCTGCCACACCTTCACCCTCACGAAGTAATCCCAGCAGCAAGTGTTCTGATCCAATGTAGTTGTGACCTAATCAAAAGGAACAGTAACATCTAATTTACATGGATCGTAACAACAATGGATGACAAATTACATAATTTTTCCAACTCAAGACAAAAACACTTCAAATGATGCCAGACATGGTTAGAACCAAGAGGCAAGAGGGCAAAAGGGCGGGATGCAGCAAACTGCGAACTACAAACTACAATTTATATGCAGAGCCTTCAATTATTGAGGAAGAAAACTATGCAAGAACATGCACCAGTAAGGCATTCGAGTAAGTCCAACAGCACATGCAGGAAATACCACAAATAGCAGGATAAGAGTATAAAAGGTTACCAAGCTGGCGGGCTTCCTCTAGTGAGAGTTCTAAAACACGCTTTGCACGAGGAGTAAAAGGTATCTCTACAGCAACAAATCCACTCCCTCTCCCAATTATTTTCTCCACCTCTACACGAGCATCTTTCAAATTTATTCCCATAGACTTGAGGACTTTGGCAGCAATGCCAGTGCCCTCACCAATAAGTCCCAATAAAATCTGCTCAGTTCCAACAAAATTATGGCCAAGACGTCTTGCCTCTTCCTGTGCAAGCATAATGACCTTTATTGCTTTCTCTGTGAAGCGCTCAAACATGGCTCGTGGTGCAACCCGGCTTTTTCTTCCTTTCCTGCCACAGTTGAAGGCAGCAACCTTTGATTGTAGTGTCTGACCCTTTTGTCTCAGTATCATGTCCAAGGCATTAGAACCTCGCAGCCCAGAGAAACCTCCTAATCTTATGGGAGTTGTTTGAAAGCTACAAAGCATCTTAGCAGTGCCTTTTGTTTTATTAGATCCTTTGAATTGTCCATTTCTTCCATTGGTGATGGAAGAATGTAAATTAGTTGACTGAACTAAAGCGTTGGCCATGTCACCTTTAAGAGATACGTATACATGACAGTACAGTTAGATATCTAGGATAAAAAATGGAAAGGTCAAAATAAATTTCTTGGTATGAGAAATCTCGAACTTAACGAATTAAAAACTCTGACATTGGCAGATAGGATAGCAAGCATAGTACGCTAATATTTTTCTATACACGACAGCTTTTACAGTCATTCATGACCATGAACGCCTATGATGCATAAAGAGACGGATGTTTGTATCAGTTGGCCAAAAGAGGAGATAAATCAAAACTGCTCAACTTTACACATACAACTGCCGAATAACCAGGAAACTGTTTTGAAGGAAAAAGAAATAAATCCAAAAGAGTATCTTCCCCAAGGGGTTCAAGGTAATGATGCTTTTATACCATTTAGTTAAAGAAAAAATTTAACTCCATAAACTCTAACTCAATCATGTGAACTGAAAAATGAGCTCATTGTTTAACAAATGATTAGGAAACACGATGAGAAATCTTATATTAAATTGAAATGTGATGCTTAAAGATGCAACAAGTAAATCTGATACCTTCAGAAAAAAATACCACCATAAAAAAGCCCTTTCACATACTATGTTGAGATAAATATTATGAAAAAACAGCCTAATACAGTCAGAATTCAAATGTCGAGAGTAACTCTCAAATTGGATAATCCTAACCCAAAAAATTAACTCGAACCCATTAACAATTTAATATTAAAATTCAAAACATGACTAAAAGTAAATTGATAGCCTTCACCAAACACTGAAAAAAAAAAATAATAATTGAAGTCAAATAGCAAAACAAGTACAATAAAGCCACCGATTTTGTCTCATAAATTATCCATACGAGCTCAATAATTGGTGCAGACCATAATTATATACCTCAATATAATTAAATGAAAAACAGCCGCTTCAACGTTAGCAGCAGCAATAACTTAAATAATCCAACAAGAAGAAAATAAATACTTTACCTATAATATGACATTTTTATAAACCCAAAAAACTAGCTTGAGCCCATTAACAAATAAGTTGATAACGTTCACCAACTCTTTAAAAAAAAAAAAAAAGTGGATGGAAAACACCCTCGAAGTTAAAATAGCAAAACAATTTTTTTTTTTAAAGCCAGATTTTATCTCATAAATTATCCATACATGCTCAATAAATGATGTCACCCTTAATAATCACAACTAAAATACAATTACGCGAAAAAAAAAAAGGCAGCTTTAATGATCAAATTACTTGCATAATTGAGCAACAAGAAAATAAATTGATATCCACGCGACAAGAAAATAAAAAAAATAATCGGAGAACAAAATACTTCACCTTAACGATAAATAGTAACTTAAAAGGGCGATTATTGATAGATTAATGTAAAAAAAAGGCCTAAAATGCTCGGCCGGAGATAGAAGAGCGGGCAATATAGTTAGATGTAGATGTGGAAATGATAAGGTTTAGGATAATAACTTGCACCGCCGCGTACGATATAAAAAAAATGATTTGGGTAAATTCCTATGGGGTCCCCAATCTTCCATATAAATATGCAATCATGCCCCTAACGTTTAATTTTTGAACTCATATCTCCAATCTTTAACACTGTGTATACAATATCCCCACATAATGAAAAACGTCTATGTACATGTTAAATAGACATACGAAGCACACTTAATGTCTAAATTAAAAGGGCAAAAATGTTCAAATTGAGGAACAATTTAATGTAATTAGATATATCAACATTTGTTTTAAGAATAAAAGATAATATTTTTTTGACAATATTACCCTTTCAGTCAAATATGAAGTGTGATCGCATCAATATTTTATGCCAAAATAGACATCTTTCATTTGATGAGGATACCACAACGAACAATGTTAAAAGGTTGTTGAAATGAGTGTACAAATAAACAATTGAAAATATGTTGTCTCATTTATGAAAGATTGAGGACCTTTAGAGGAATTTTCCCAAAAATCTTCAGAAAGGAATGTAAATGGAGTGTCTTGTGGCCGTAGATGCGAAGGCTCATTTGGAATGGAAATTCGATACTTTTAATACAGAGATGCAAGCATTCTTTTGTTACTTTTATTGCCTTCTTTTAAAATCTATAAAAACTAAAGTATTATTTCTACAAATAGTATTCAACATATTAGTAATTTATTTATTAAATAAAAAAAAAAATCGGTTCCCATCTTGAGCTAAAAGATTTGAAAAAGGATAGTGGACTATGGTGAAATAAAAAATAGATTTGATGGTTGAGAATGAGGGTTTGTCGAACATAAGTCGATGTAAAGATTGGATGGTGAGTGTAGGTTGAAGTGGCAAATGTTGCATGGATGGGATCTAGTAGGGCTTGGAATGTACTAAGTAGAGAATATATTGTGAAGGTGTTTGGTAGGGATTTAAATTAGATTTTTAGTAGTTTTTGATAGAAATTTTTGAAATGTGTGGTTGAAAAATTGTGGAATCTATGAAAGATGTGATTAATATTGATTGTTTGACTTTAATTTGAATTAAAATTATATTTTAATCCGGACCAAACATGGGATGTATATATATTCATTGATAGCTACTTGAATTTGACCAATGAAAAAGGCATAATTGAATTGAGAAAAAAAAAACTTCAATTGAAATATTTTAAATGAAAATTTAATAAAAAAATATTCATCTTAAAGTGCATGAACCTTAATTTCACTCAAGATTATGAAATATAATGTTTCTATACCCTACAAGTAATTATTTCTTACAAATTTATTAGAAAAATGTACTGATAAAAGTCTTTGATATTTTTTTTTATTGTTAATAGGAAAGTTGATTTAAGGACTAAAAAGTGGTGCTTGGAATAAGTAGGCCATATATTATTAAGTAAAAACGAAAGGATGAAGAATGAAAATACATAAAGTTTGTTTCTTGTGATGGAGTAGCCGTGTTTTCCACGCCACTCCAAATTCTCAACTTTTCGTCATCTTTCCCTTGATACAATGCCTTTCCTAGTGATGTGATGGGGATAACTAGAAAATGCAAAGTTAAATGTTAATTCTTTGAATAGGAAATATATATTGCACGTGGTGACCATTGGATCAGAACCACGTGGCAACATCCTTCATGTCGAAACTTCACGTCACTGTCCCATCTATGAAATCAATGTTCTGCAAAGGATGGGCCATTCTACTTTTAGGCTGACATACTGACATTCGACAACTTTATTACAAATGTCACATCAATGATTACTAAGAAATCTTCAAAGCCATTACATGGTGCAGCATCGGACTGGAGAGCCTCGGACAACTTAAGAGGGCCACGATTGGTTATTGTGCCTCGTCTTTGTAGATGTACTTCAGGGTGGACCTTATTGCAGTGTGAGGGGTTCGGATATTAGATGAAGGACCTCGGCCAGTTGCCTCATTGAGCTCTCTGACTCGTTGGACCTCCTTTTGACTTTCCATTGATAGTCCTACCCACGTGGCGGGTTACGTGGTCTTACTTCTTTAGATCTCGGAATCGAGGGATAACAATAGTCCCCCAAGTCTAAGCATTATTATTTATGTAATCCGTGGACTTGAAAGTAATCTAGAGGTAGAGTTTCAAAATAATAATATGCTCTCTCAAAGCTTTGTCTGATTAATTTTCCGACGTTCCTAGGTACTGAAGCTCCATCCTCTGTTTTGAAGTGTCTTCATACGTTCTGAAGAGGATAGGGTTGGATGCTTTAAATAGCTTTGAACTTTCTCAATGATTCTGAGAAATACGAAGCATAAATTATGGAGCCCCAATGATTTGATGTCGTGGTGCCTTCCCAAGAAAGACAGCTGGGGCTATGCAACTTCCAATACACATAATAATCGCCGTTTTTAATACGCAATGATGATTGTTTCCCCATGCTTCTTAATAAGACTTAGATGCGTGAGAGCGCGTGCAATCGATGTTCAAATCTGGGCCTTTGAAGACGAAGTGTCAGATGTCATGGGTGGCTCAAGTTAATACTTGCAGATCAATGGTTGGATGGCCCGGATCAAGATCCAATGGCCAAGGTTGAGTGGGTTTGCCTATAAAAGGCAAGAATCTTAGAGAGAATTCATTTCCTACCTTTTGCATAAATCTTGACATTCTTTTCTCTCAAGTTTACTAACTCCTTCAAGTTTTTCTTTTTGAAATTCCTTTGAGTATCCTTTTTTTCTCTTCAGTCGTGCTCCTGTGAATCCTTCCTTGGCCAGTAAGTAATTGATTTCTTGAATTTTTTGGCATTCTTTACATTTATGGCTTCTTCTACTTCTTCTGAGGACGATGTAGATGTGACCAAGTAGCTAAGGAATTAGGAGTCCAGATAACCAGTACGGCCGACCTTAGGACATCTGTTGAGGCAGGCTGAGGTGCCTCTATATCTGGGGACATTGTCAGGGGTGACGACGGTGTGGGAAGGGGCAGCCAAAATTCGTTCTAGTGTCGACCCAACCCAATTAGCCATCCTTAGAGATAAGTATAGGATTCCCTAAAACAACGAACTTCTATCTCCCTCTCATGATGAGCGAGCCTGTTTTCCTAGGCAGGGTTCCGTCGCCATCAATGAGTACATCCTGAAATCTGGCCTTTGCCTTCTCCTTCATCCCTTTTTTCGATCCGTTCTTTAACTATACGGGTTGGTCCCCACCTAACTAGTCCCTAATGGCTGGGCCCAACTAGTGGGTTCATATATCCTTTGGAATGAGACTTCCTTGGGTGAGGATATGCCCCTCCACATCTTTCAAACAATCTACCAGCCTGGGTCCTTAGGCAAAGGGGATTCCAAAGGGTGGTATTCATTATATCCATAGGGAAGGCACTCTCCTTTGGTGTTGGGTCTCCCTACCTCCATCAAGGGGTGGAAGGAGACCTAGTTCTGGGTTCTAGGAAAGTGGGAGGAGTGTGAGGGTGACACTAT